TTTTTATTACATATTGATTGTATATTTCAGATGCCATCAGAGCCGAAACAAGCCATCAAAATCAAAGGTCTGGATGTACAAGAATTCTGGCAGAATAACCTTTCTAAAGCTATCAGAGATATACAGAATGAATATGATACTAAATTAGATCTGATGAGGCAAGATTGTGAAACCAGATTTGCAGCACAGGTAGGTCGTGAATTAAGATATGGGGTGGGGGGGGGGGGGGGCATTCAAGGGATAATCTTCATAGCTAAGTAGTCGAAGTTCCTGAATGTTCCTTAGTCGTTTAGTCGAAGTTACCAATTTCTGCTTGGTGATATTTTTCTAAATTTACTGTAATAACTCCACACATTCGGAAGGCAATATGGAAACCATGCCCCACTTTCATTGTGGTGTCGTCTATTTTCTTCTTCAAACCAACAGTTCCAAGACTTTGATTACGATCGTGTTGATGATGATAGGTACTGCTCAATACAACAACAATACACATTAAACATTATATTATAATTCAGATGAGACAGGTTCAATCTGGTGCAGTCAGAGATAATATGGAGAATAAACAGGCTAAAGAAGTCTCCAAAAAACTTCAATCTCAGTTACAAGGTTCGTCATCTAAAGTAGCTGAAATGGAAGCCAAGGTAAGAATATTATAATACATCATAAGGTGGACGATGGAACGTCTGGCTTTCTCGACCTTTATACGACCTTTAGCATCTTCAAATGTCAGAGATTCAGGGATCATACTAACAAAAACATACCATAGAAAGATCATTTCACCTGATCAGAACAAACATTCGATATTACAAAAGATATAATAATATAAAGAATATAACTATAATCTAAGAATATTATTCCATATTTCTATATAATTCCAGAATGGTGCTTTACAAGCGGAAATGTCTCAGTTGAGAAACATGATTCAGGGTCTTGAAACAGAATTAGAATCTGAAAAATCTGAACACATGGCCAGTAAATCTCGACTCCAGGCTGAACTAGAAGCATGTGTTGAAGAACTAAGACTGATTATGGATGCTAAACTATCATTAGAATTAGAAATATCATGTTATAGAAAATTACTGGAGGGTGAAGAGAACAGGTTAGTAAGATGGTATTTTATCACGTTCATAATCATTCCAAAATATAAAATAAAAAAGAGCAAGGTTATACCACTGTTCTGGCGAGATTTTCACAACATTCCCTTTTTGAGGTCCAGAAAAAAACATGGATTTACTCTATTTCTGTCGATGTATGAAATGTGCGTCCCGTTTTAATCACAATAGTGTTCTATTTCAAACATCTAAAGTTAATGTTAATTATTTGTCAACTCCTGTGTGTCCTTCTTCTCACACCATATATTCTAAATACAATAAGGAATCTACAGCAGTATAAACTCCTAAACTGAGTAGGGCTAGAGTTTTAGGGCTAGTGCTACAATTTATCTAAATATCTTTTCTCCACAGATTCAAGAACCTTGTTGAAAATGCTATTTCCGTCCAGAATAAAGGTGCAACCAATCTGAGCAATATCATCATGGGAGGAGGATCAACGTCTTCTTCATCTTCATCACCAACCGTGAGAACTATGGGCAATACAGGAGGTATCAAGACCACTATTAAATCATCCTCTACCAGCATCAATTAACTTACTCAATGGATCAGATCGATTATAAAGACGCTCGTTTCAGCAGATTATATTGTCGTTACTTACTTAACACATTTTATCATTTTTATTCTTAACATAGATCAGCAAAATACTTAAGCTAACTTCTTTCATTAGGCTTACTCTATGTAACATTAGGCCGACATTATGTAAACTGTCAAATTATCACAGAAAAAAATCTTTTCACCCCGCGATACAGTCTTCATCATAGCAAGTGATAAAACACAGCAGTGTTAAACAAAGATATGTGAATTTAGTGAACATAATTCTGTAAAATAGTTCTTCAATCTGAAAAGATCTGTCTATGTTTTTGAATTTTTTACTTTTGTAAAACCCCTATTAGAAAGATATAGCTTACACATATATTTATTTAGATGTATTGATTATTTTTTTTTTGTAAAATAGAATTGTAAATATTAATTGTAAATATGTCAGCTATTTATAAAGATATATTTTTGTAACTGGAGTTGTTTCCTTTAAAACAAGGTATAACGTCTGTGACTAGCAATTATCCAGAAGTCTTTGAGGAACTCTTTCAGGTCAGGGATACCGATTCTCTCAATTTGCTCCCACAGGTACTTGTGGACAGGATAGTCTTTGGTGAAGCAAGGGAGATTTGGCCGGTCGATTAATATGTATACTTTTAAAATACATATCAGTCGATCGGCAAAATCTCAAATACTTCACCAAAGGCTACCCTGTCCACCTGTGTTTGCTTCATCATTGTCTGAATGGATGGGCTAGAATCTGCTTCCACTATAAAGTCATGCTTGTCTGTGAATTATCGGCCTAGTTTACTTTTGGTCATCGTTTTGTTAAGATTTGGAATATCCACTATTTAGGTTATTTCCAGCAGTTTTGGGTATATCAATCTATAATGGCTCGGTAAATCGTTGATAAATGTTTCTACACAAGACTTGGAACAACATAATACTGTCTCATACATCACTTTATCATCAGATATCACAAGGGGATCTGTCTTAATAACAACAACTACAAAACCATCAACAAATATCACACCTTCACATACTGTACATAGACTTGTCTGAGATGTTAACGTTATAAACAGTTCTTTTGGTAGTTGATCTTTCAATGATTCCAGTACGACTGAAAGAAGAGAATTAAAGCTTCCATGACGTGATAAAGAGTTTTCTAATTTCCGAGTTAATTTTTCAGATATTTAAAGCTGATGTGCATTTGAAAACAAGTCACAAGAGGTAGAATTGTTCAGATCAACGTTGTATATTGCAGATGATAGATAGATACTGTTAAAACAATGGCAACAAGGTATGTGGACGATATATATCTGGTTGTAAAGAAATGTGTACCTGAACTATAGTTTGAAAGAACTCTAAAGCAAAGTTCCAGTAATTGAGGAATAGGCCTTAACACCGGATGACCAAAGCTTGTTACATCATCACCCAGACACAATTTAACCTTCTGACCATTTTCTTCAACATCCATATAACAAAATTCATCACAGTTGTCTTCTGATTCAATTCGTCCACATCTGTGAAATACATAATCACAGATAAGTATAATTCTAGACCGCATTAATTCTTCTCAAATAGTTCGCAATGATAATTGTACAGGTCTGACAAAGTTCACAAAGCAACTAATGACACCCATTACTGATATAATCTTTAATGAAATGCTGTAAAAAGTTGTAAAAAGACAAACTATCAGTTGGTATTTTGATATCTCCTAAATTATCTGATGGAACGCGCAGATGACATATTCAAGTTAAAACATCAGAACTTATGTCGAACATTTTTCAGTGCTTATAGCCTTTTACAGCTCCGTTTCAAAACCAACTCTGACTCTTTTGCCAGCAGCAGTTTTGGTACCGAAATCCTTGCGAAATGTGCCATCAACAATGTCATATTATTCATCTTCTCAAATTAAATATGGGCTCTTATTATGATACAAAATCATTGTTCATACCCCAAATGTGTAACCGGAAGTTTGTAGGGATATGAAAATAATGCCGGATTCTGGTCCACATATATATCTCTTATATTCTTCAGTTTCATTAAATCTAAAAACAATAGAGTAAAGCCATTATGAGCTATGTCGGGTATGCATAGATATTGGCATGTCATAATTTCATTTGTTCACAGTACTGGTTAAGGGAACATGATAATGCACATGTTATGCTACCAAGGTAATTTTGTAAGGTTTATGCTATACCATGGGGCAATAAAGCGACAAATCTGGCTAACCGTAATATTAAACAAGTCAAACAGCTCTAGAAAATAGTTCAAAGGTCACTTACTATGAGACAAAGACACAAGACTATTTCCACACATTGATAAATCTTGTAAATTCTTTAATTTTACAATCTCTTTTGGTATAAAACTGATGAAGTTTCGATCTAAACACAGTTTTTGTAAGCTTTTACAATCACAGAGCTGTTTAGGAAAAATCTTCAAATTGAGATAGGCTGCTTCGAAAGTTAATAATTTCTGTAGTTGGCCAATTTCTGAAAGTGAAAACATTGTGCTATTCAATGGACAAAGAAGCGCCCTAGAATTTAATCATACATTTTGATATGGAAGGCAACAACACAATTTTAAAATCATCATCAGAATACCTCAAATCCGTATCTTAGTCTATATCACGTCTGAAGAACTGGTAGCGCCGGATTTGTCGGGCTAGTAGAAATGCTGAAACTCACCATTTGGAAGAATAGAAAGGAAATTATTGATGGACAAATTGAGCTTCTCTAAATTTGACAGTTGGCCAATGGAGGCTGGTAAGGATTTCAAAAAGTTGGAACTTAAATCTAAATATCGTAAGTTCTTCAAGCAGCCAATTTCTGAAAATATATTTCAGTTTACTAGATTGGTATTTGCCACTGGGTTCCGAATAAACCACAAAACAAGAATCAAACATTACATTTTCGTGTCCTGATAAAAATGCGATGTTATTAGTCATACGGACCTTCTTATATATGCAAAAAAAGAAGTATCCATAATTACAAGGTTAACAACAAAGGTTCTATAACAAAGGACACTATTTTGCAGTTGGTGCTCACAGTTGTTACAGATGTTATTAACAATATTTCGTGATAAAATTACTGAACAAGACGTAGGATTACGTATTATTTGAATTCAGAAAACTAATGCCAGTCGCTTGAAATAGGGCTCCAGGAGCTGAGGATTTAGGAGGGCATTTAACTGACTGTATCTGTTTAAGCTTACCATCTGGGAGCTTGTGAATCTCATTGGCTGGTAAATATCTGTAAAATACTTAAAAGGCTTAACCTCAACGTGTATAATTCTTTATGGTAGGTATAAGCTTTACATATATAAATACTGTATACTAATGGCTTGTGTAGTACACAACGTTTCAACAATTTACATGATCATTAACCGGACAGTGCATTTAAGGAGACGTAGTGGTTGTGAGCAGTTTTAGACAAAGACTGGAATGATTGGCAGGGGGGCGTGACAAGATGCATGTCTTATATTGTTAGTCTTAAGATCTTGTTAGCATACACTAGATCTTAGATCACGAGAGCCAATATCAAGAAATGTAACTCTACTTACAGATCAATCAGATTACAAAAACATCTGATGTCTTTTGGCTAGAATAAAAATTAAGTTTATTTGAACTTTGATAAGGATAAGTTACCTTAGATTAATTTATCATATTTCTGTCGGGGTTTCCTAAAGTATCAGCAGAATTAGATTAAAGAATTTGCATATTCGTAAAAAAAAATACATGTTTGTAGTTTAAAATGGTTAATAGACGTTTATTTCATTTGAAATATTTGTATAATATAATTACCAGTGTTTTCAATTTGTTACGTTTTAGATAAAGACGTTCAATATGTCTGTTATATTGACAGAAGTCAGCTGATAACTGTGTTAATCCTGAATAGTTTAACTGTAATACTACTTCCATTCTCTCTCATTAACCTTTCTTATCTGTAAAATAAATATATATTGTAATGGAAATACGGTATCAGATTAATATAACTTCTGATGGGAGACTGTCAACTTGTCAAAGATAGCGTGACGCGTGACGATATATTTCATTTTCTATGTTTACTGCATCGTTACAAATGTACGGTAGCCTCTCGAAATTGACGAGTATTTCTGAGCAGTCTTCATTAGGCTATCTGACCTGTTTCCCAAACCCTGTTGCACCGTGTAACAACCCACACACAGCCTTCACTTCATACTCAATATTGTTTGTTTGATATCAAAGGTGCACCTGAGTTCAGTCTGTAAATTAAATGAAGATCAGTCACATTTTCAAGTGTAAACAGCCGGGAAATGTCACAAAGTTCTAACTACAGACCACCATTAATGCTTGCAGCAAACCTATAAAAAGATTTCGTACACATTCATACACACTATAAAATTAAACGAAATACCATTAAAAAATATTTCAGTTTTATTTTATTATACACTTTTGTCATGAAAGCATTAAAACACAACACTAAACAATTCCTCTAAGGCTAGGCTTATTAGTGTTAAGATTTTTGTCTTTCGTTCCGTTATATCTGGCGTTTCAATATACCAATAATTCAAGATGGCAGCCCCCATGTTAACATGTATGTTATGAAATTTTATGATGAAATTATGATTTTCTGCCTCTGATTTACACCTTTCTATTAACCCAGAGTGAGTAAGTTTAAGACCAATGACTATTAAGATTGAAACCCATAAGATCCTGTTACTGACATTGGTTTGGCAACATTATCTCTGACACTCTCCTCCGTGAATGAAAATTTTACACGTGATCTTGATGTCTCAATTTGAACACATCTTATAGCCCTTCTAGTGTATTGCAATCTGTTACATTTTTGGATTAGTAGGTAATAGTTCCATGGCATTGATAGGTTAAAAACGGAATTGCATCCATTGCAGTGTTGGCGTGTTTAAAACAGGCTTACCATGGGTATTTCCCTAGTCAGTCATTTGGTTACAGTGGGATGTGAAGACTGATATCACTTATTTTATATTATTTAATAGTCCTATGCTGTTAGATTGATCAATAATTGTCATTCCTCTTTCAGAATACGTGTAAATAAATAAATAGAAGAAAATGAGGAATTTAAAGTTGTTAGACTCGAGATGTTGGTGTAAGAAAGTTAGCGATGATATACGATGTATTAGTATAGATAATGATACCAATCTGATATATATAGCTGGTACAACTACTATAGTAGCATTTGATCCTAACATTGGCAAGGTATGTTTTTGTAGTAACAACCTCTATTGATCTATTGTGATAACAACCAATATTGTAGATTAGGCAATATTGTGATAGATGTACATAATAGGTTTACAATGATATAAGTAGTAGGCCTTATTTGCCATATTATGATAGAAACATCTATTGTGGCAAATTATCAATTATCAAAAATTAAAAATGCACTTTCAGTCCTTATTGTGGCTTCATCTCTTGAAATGATTCTGATGAATGTAATTAATGTTTTACAACATGTTATATTGAACATATTGTAGGTTACTAACAATATAGATCTAAAGAATAATGAGAGTAATATTAGTATAAATAATGATGGTACTGGTATAGTTGATATACAGTATATACCAGATCTACAGGCATTATGTATCGCTGTTAGTGATGGTACTTTAATACAGTGGACTGTCTTTAATAATGAGGTAGGAGATAGCCTGAAATTCGTTAATATATTAAAGGGATGTACACCAAGTTAAAGAGAAATAATGCAGTTGTTGTTTGGACTGAATTTGCCAATCCTGATTGAGCTTGATCAGTGTTCAATGCATACTTACCTCTAATTCTTTGTATATATCCAAAGTAGTTGTACTATGAATATTAAAAAATTAACATATGAGGTTTAAATTTGATGTTGATCTGTATTTACAGTTAGAAGAAGTAGGATGTGTACCAAGTGGTATAAAAACCATGTGTTGGAGTCCAGATTTAGAACTTCTCATTTTAGCTACAGGTATAAAAGATATTTACCTTTCTTAATAATATTGAAGAGTCCACCAGTCTTAAGGGGTATTTGCAATAGTGAAGTCATAATCTGGTCAAGTGGAGCCTTTAACATAGATGGAAGTTTCCCAGCAGGATAATCTCTTGTGAATCCTTTGAATTGTAGGCTGATTCTGGAAAGAAAACTGAAGCAGAAGCCTTGATTAAAAAAAAGAAACTTTGATTGATGATTTAATGTTATAAGTTATATAATTTTAGGAGAAGAGAAGTTTATATTGATGACAAGAGAGTATGATCCTATTATAGAATCACCATTACAAGATGAACAGTTTGGAGAAGGTAGGCAGGACCAGCCTTAAATTTAACTAAATTATGTTGTTTGTGAGGAGATAGAGTTCATTTCCCCTTTTAAACAAAAGAATACTTCCAATGTTTTTAAGAATATTCTATTCTCAATGTATTTCTGATACACTGTTAATGTGTTTTTCGGTGCGGTTTGGTTTGATACAGAGCCAGTGCTTTAGAGAGCATATTTCATCAGCTATTGATATATATATATATATAAAGTCAACTCATAGTTACCCTAAATTGAAGACTTCTATTTTTTCAGCTGAATTTGTAACAGTTGGTTGGGGAAAAAAGGAAACTCAGTTTCATGGTTCAGCAGGAAAACAGGCAGCACAACAGAAACAGAAAGTATGCACTCCAGATTTTTGATAAATTCTCTTTCGACTTTTATCAGCTCGTATGATGTTTCAGTTCATGGAAATGAGAATGTAATTTAAGACATATGACAGTAAACAATCACTGCATGGTTTTTAGTTTAGATTGAAAAATAGCTTTGATTTAATACTTATAGGAAATAACTGTAGCTGTTGAGGGTGATGATTGTAAAACTAGAATTAGTTGGAGAGGAGATGATGGTCTTTATTTTGTTACCTCTTTTATCAATAAAAATACAGGTAGATTTTCTTTTGATATTAATCACACCGTTTGTTTTCAAGAACTGAAAAATGAGCTTCACAATAGTAGTGATAGTCTCAAGTTAAGTTGATGGAAATCTGCAGAGAATGTGTCAGTTACTTTTGTAGCCTCTCTTATGACTACTAATGCCGCTGTCCTGGCAGATTTCTCTCATTGCACCCTGCATGGCGTTGCCAGTCTTCATTAACTCAATAGGTAAAGAAAAGTAGATGTAAAACTCCATTCAACATTTTATTTCTTCTATGAATAGAAATTTTCTAAACAAAAAATACAAGACAGTTTACTACCATCCTTTTTTCACCAGATCGTTTTCAATATGTTAATGATTTGAATTGATATTTCAGGAGCTCGGCAATTAAAAGTATGGACAAGGGAAGGAACTCTACATTCTACCAGTGAACCAGTTGATGGTTTACAGCAGCCACTCAGTTGGAAGTAAGAAAATATTAGGATTATTGCCCTTGTCTTTCTTATGTATAAAATCAACAGAAGATGGACATTATTATTTCCTAATTACTTGAGGGTAAGAAGAGGTGCTGTGTGTATTATATAGGCCTATTATATTCACAATTATGTGATAAACACATTGTGAGTAGCTGGAATCTATCAGCAAGTAAATTTATATTAAGATGACCATAAACCTTTGAAATGTAGATTTTATTTTTGAAATATTTATTCAAGGCCAAGTGGAAGTTTGATAGCCTCTGCTAAAAAATCAGACAACAAACAAGAAATAATTTTCTTTGAGAAGAATGGATTAAGACATGGTGAATTTATTCTGCCGTTTCAAAATGGACAGATCAAGGTAATATAATTCTAGATGCAAAATATTTTATTAAGTACATGAACAGATGAAGTATTATTTCAGACTAAAAGAAATACAGTCATCTTAATGTTGGATTTGTCAAGCTCAAGATAAGCTATCCATCCATGACACTTTTCAGAGTGAATTTCTCATATCTAATTGATGTACAATCAATGAATCAAGTAAACATGTACCATTTGAAAAACTTAAGTGTTTGGTGTGTTTTAGGTAAAAGAGTTAATATGGAATATAGATTCTAGTATATTATGTGTTTGGTGTGAAGATATAGAACATAATTCTTATGGTAAATATCTCATTCAATTCAAGTCACATGACCAACCATTGAATTTAATTGGATGGCAGGAGTCTTTGGTTCGTGCAATTCGACTTAAACCAAGTGTGTTATGATGTGGCTACAGCAAAGGCTCTCAGATATTTTAAGCAGCTTTTTCTGTAGTATGGATCAGCTTTTTTGTAATTACAGTAAGCACAGATATCTTACAAAAATGTTTCTTTTCACTATTAAACCACAGAATTGATACCTCTATTGCTTGTAGTATTGCATCACAGAGCATAGATTGACTTAGAAATCACCCAGTCATAATGGAAATAGGCCCTCATTTACTAATATCCAATGTTTTTCAGTTCAACTGTGGACAGTAAATAACTATCATTGGTATTTAAAACAATCATTAATGTTTGGTGATAAAGAACAGGTGTCTGCTGTACACTGGGATCCCGAACATACCTACAGGTTACATGTTACTACCAGGGGAGGCAACTATCATCAATATACCTGGACATGGGTGACTAATAGTTCATCTGGTACTAGTGACAAAGATCAGGCTTTAGTTGGCGTCATAGATGGAAGTGAGTCTGCCATAAATGGCCTTTTTGTTGTTTATCCAATGTTACATTTAACTACGTATTCTCAAGATCTATATCCTGTCAAATTCACTCCTGCAAAACGTTTAATCCATATATCAAATGAAGCAGACAAAACTACAGTGTCACAAATCCTAAATATAAACAAGTATTTTTATGAAATAATGAGAATTATGATTGTGTTTTAGAGAATGTATTGATGACACCATTTAGAAAGATGGTAGTACCTCCACCGATGTCAGCCTACAATTTAACTCTACCTCAGTTTGTACAGCAAGTTATGTTTTGTCTAGAGGACCAGTATAGTAATAATATAGCTGTATTATTACAGGATAACACTGTAGCTTTCTACTCTTATCATATATCACAAGGTAAGTCTGAATAAATTTGACAATGTTAAGGATGTTCTGGAAAATTGACCATTATCATTTCTCTTAGCATGATTTATTAAACTGAAGGTAAAAGTTAGACTTAAAGTTTAAAAATACTCTAAATAACTGAGCTCTTGTCCTCTATTAATTGTTATAGTACTTGTTAGATTCTTAATATCTGTTACTGTAGTTATGGTGGGGATAAAATGTGCACCAAACGTTGATGATTTAAAAATAAGTCTGATCTGTTTTTGTTTTCTATGATATAGAGTTTATTTATGTATTATGTTATATTTATAGGTAAAGAATGTACTGGTGTTAATGTAACAGCTGCTGGTGGAACTGGGTTCTCTATCAAATGTCAACTTCCAGTATTTACTGGCATTTATCAGTAAGTTTTTATCATATTTACTGTTATATCTAGCATAATTATATTAACTAGCATAATGTATCCTCAATTTCCAACACATGATGTAGCATAGAGAATGAGAGATATAATTGTTCTTTGGAATGAATTTCTTAGTTAGTCAATAATTTCTATTAGAGTTTACATTAATTAATTAATAATTCCAGCCCATACAATTTATGATAATGTATTGATCAATTTATAATATTACAGTATAGAAGGTTTAGAATCTAGTCAACATCCACTGAGTTTATATCATACTATCTGGGTAAAATCAGATATTCTAGTACTGATAACTATCAGTGAGGATGGCAGTTGTTCTACTCTATATAAAACACATGTAAATTCTACCAATAACAAACTAGATGTAAAGTAAGTTAAAATAAAGATTTCTTATTTACTTTAGCAAGAGCATCATCACAATATTAAGATATTACGAACTTTGTCGTATACCTTGACATCAACATACATTGGTAACTTCGATTGTCTTATATTCCATATTTGCCCCGTGTGCTACAGGCTGTGCACAGTTGGAATCTAAAAGGAGCAGGCTGTCCTGGAAAAATCTCCTTCATTGCACCCTTCATTAGCCCACATGGTGCAGAAAAGTAGGATGTAAAACTCCATTCATTTCATTCCATAAATATTGCAGATGTAAGACTGATATAGAAAACCATGTTTATAATATCAGTAAATGTCAGGCCTCAGATAATCTGGTTTTACAACTTATAGATGGTACCTTGTTACAGTATGATCTAGGTAAGCTATACCATTATCTAGTTTATGATCTTCAGAATTCCTCCTTCAAACACATATTTATCTTTAGTTGTAGAAAAATCATGTGGCTGTTTTTTAATTCAGAATGTGATACAACATCAGAATTAAAGTGTTGTTGATGATTTCGTTCATTCTATATATTTTAGAGAGTGATAGTATTTTACCGTGGGTTGACAGTAATGGAGATGAAGTAAAGTTCCCGTCACCATGCTCTACTCTATCTGTATGTAAACTAGGGGGACAAGTAGTGGTCCTAGGTCTAACAGATAGATATAGATTTTATGTCAACAATATAGAGGTTGGTAAACAATACAGGCAAATAGTTATGATATTTTGACAGTAGGTTTTAAAAGTGGGGTTTAGCCTGTGAGACATTACTGTGGCTTCTTCTCAACCCCCTTACTAATTGATTGATAGAAGTGCTCCTGCATTTCGAATCAAAAAGTAAAAAAAAGTAGGCTGATTTCTAAAGTAATGTTATCCATTATCACTACCTGATTGCATTTTGAAGTAATTGACTCCAGTGCTTTTCAACAGTTGGAAATTTCCCTCAGTGCACACTTCCATACATTGTCTGCTACAAAAGTCCGATCAACATTTTCCCAACAATAGGATGTAAAACTCTATTTTATTTGATTAATTTTAGGTAGCATCTAATTGTTCATCATTTATAGTTCATTCTGAGTTTTTATTGTTAACTACATTGAGTCATACATTACGTTGTATTAATCTACATACACAGTTAAAAGGTTTGTGCTTTTCTTCTTTATATTGGCCTGACATGTATGATGGCTGAAATCGAACTTACTCTCAAATAAATCTGCAAAAATCTCAACCCGGGTAGAAAAATATTGAGACAACTTACTGTGAGCTAATTTGTTTTTCACAATTCAATTATATTTTGATCATTTTGTGATTTTTTAAAATTTATCCTTACCAAAATAGTACGTCTAGCTAAAGTCTTTCATTTTTACTCAACTGAGAATATCTTCAAAACCAATTTTTCAAATCAAATTCAAATTTATTAAATATATTTACCAGTAGCATAATAGAATGTTTATGTTTTTATAGATTTACCCAGTCTATCTGATGGTAAAGAACATCCGTTTGATGAATCAATACGACGTGTTGAGAGAGGATCTCGTATTGTTTTGGTCGTACCAGATGATATTAAACTAATATTACAGATGCCTCGTGGAAACCTGGAGGGAATTTATCCTAGAGCTTTAGTTTTATCTGCTGTTAGACACCATCTAGATAGGTATGTAATAGGACAGCAACAAAACCATAGCCCTGCGTTCACCAAAACAAAAAGTTTTGTTGTTTTCTTTTAAACGAGTTTTGTTATGGCCAAACCCTCTTGGCATCATTTTTTTTTTCAAATTATATTAACAATGAACAATAAAACTTAATTGGCTCAGATTAGTATAAGGAGCAATGAGTTTCACCATGTTTCTGAAGTACTGTATGTATCTTTGATTAACCAGTGAATATATATTGTAGGTTTGAATATAAGAAAGCCTATACTATAATGAAGAAACATCGTATTAATATGAACCTACTGTATGATCATAATCCTACTTTATTTTTAAATCATATTACTGATTTTATACAACAAATAGACCATGTGACAGATTTAAATATTATTGTTACTGGACTACAGTAAGTATAAGATGTTTTTGCTTAGTAGTTTTTTTGGGCGCCTAATTTTGTCCATACTTGCACAAATTTGGATGTCTATATTTCCAAGAACTTCTTATATGTTATATTCTTGTTGGACATGGATTTGTATTTGATTGAAACTTTGATAATTTGAGCAGAATCTGGGAGAGAGCAGTTATGGATTTACCATGTAATTACTCGTGATGGAAACATCATTGGAAAACTTTATACCATCATCATCTCTAACAAGTTCCGAGAGAAAAAAGATTTTAAGGGAGTAGGTACTGCGTTAGTCTGTCATGTCATGACAAAGTTTGAGATGACAAATGTTTTTATAATTTCAGAGAAGAAGATGTAACAGTGACAATGTATACAGCAGCTTATCAACAAACCAATCAGAAACAAGATAAGAAAGAAAGTGAAAGTAAAGTTGATGTTATCTGTGATTCGATTCGTTCAGCTTTAAATAAACTGGATGCTGATAGGTCAGTCTGATGTAGATTTAAAATTTTATTATTTCAAAATATTGTGTTTGACCTTTCTTTGAGCTACCTTGATTTGTTCTTTTATAGATTTTTAAACTACTATTTTAAGGTGCCCATTGGACAGATTGTTATTTTATTCATCTGGTTATATTTATTTTCAGGTTTTTATTGTCTATTCTGACAACATATGTAAGAAAAAGAAAACCTGAACTTGAAGCAGCCTTAGAATTAATACAACAGTTGAGAGGTATGTTGTAGGTTTATTGTATGTGATATTATAATATTATCATTTTAACACAGGGCTTTAGTTTATTTCTTTAGTGTTTTTCTTATATCAGACCCAACACCTGCATAACTACCTGTGAATGAACCCAGCAGCGACAGTGAGCAACTGTTTGTCTTGTTGAGAACTGCAGATTCAGCCAAACACATGTACAGCCAAACCATTAACCAAGACTGCTATTTGATGTTTGTCAATTGTTATTTATTGTAGAAAACCCAGTAAAGAATAAAACAGTGAGTGCCGAGGAAGCGTTGAAATATTTACTATTTTTAGTTGATGTTAATGAACTTTATAATGTAGCTTTAGGGACGTATGACTTCGACTTAGTTTTAATGGTAGCTGAAAAATCACAAAAGGTACATCTGGTATATTTTGTAGTCAGTTTCCTATATCTGATGTATTTTTGATTTTTCATTATCTTGACAAGGTGTTAACTTTTTACTGTCAAGCATTTTAGCAAGTAAATTGTTTTTAAGTTTTTTTTAATATTTGAAAAAATCGAAAAAAAATAATAAATGTATATAGAAGTAAAAATATTTTTCTTTTATCTTTTTTTTACGTTATTTCTTTTTTACTTTGCATAAAACATGTCAAGTATAACCTGGTAAAAGATCAAGCTTTACTACATATTATTCAATTCCCTTTCTGTATCTGTTGGTAGGACCCTAAAGAATATATACCATTTTTAAACGAATTACGTCGTTTAGAAGATAATTATAGAAAGTATAGTATTGATAAACATCTGAGACGGTTTAATAAAGCTTTACAACATATTTCACATTGTGGTAAGTACCATCAAAACATGAACATTAACAGTCATAGGCTCTGGGACTTTTATCAACAGCTAGATATTTAACTTTCATTTCTGCCAAGATATCATCATAATCAGTGTCTCCCCCAAATATTTGTCTGGACACAAGGAAACTTGGAGCTATGATTAGGTGTCTGCTTGTTAACCTGAAGGTGAACAGTATTATCTCAATGAGGTATTCAATGGTTGAGCTCAAGATCTTATTCATGTACGTACGTTGTTTTTTATTATAGGACCTAATCATTTTAACGAGTGTTTAAAGTTAATAGAAGATCAGAAGTTATATGTTGAAGGGTTAAAATGTTACCCCATTTCTTCCTCAGAATATAAAGTAAGGATTAATTTTATTCTTTTTACCCTTTCTGGTATCTTGAGGTTTGTATCCATGGTTCTCTGGTCCGAGAGCACCAGTTCCTGGTTTGGCTTCAAGCAAATAACTTAATAAGACATTTTGTATTTCATGATTTGTCTGGTGTAATGTTGACTGATTAATAACTTCAGTTAAGTTGGGTTATTGGATTATGAAACTAATTTTATCAAATTATAATTTGTAATTCTTGACGACCTGTGAATAAAATAGGAACAGAGGAAGAATCAGCTGATAAGGGAGCTCTGAAGAACCAAATCTAGCCTTGTAAATTATGAAAACGCCTCTCTATTATTTTAGAATATTGCTACAAACAATGGTAATTATTTACTAGAGAAAAACAGACAAGATGAGGCAGGTGTTATGTTTATTAAAGCTGAGGAATGGGAACTGGCTCTAGAAGCGTTTATAACCTGTAAAAACTGGTGTCAAGTATTCTGTATGACAGCTCTGTTAGGTTATACTGCTGATAGAGAGGCTGAGATAGGTAGAAAACTAGCAGGTAATTCTATAGACCTTATTCATACATGATTCATATTGAATTCAGAACAAGGTTAATATGGCACATTGGTCCATTTAGCTGAAAGGTTATTATGATAATTATTATTTTCATTTAGTTCATGTCACTTCCTTTTGACCTTGTCATTCCTTTCCATCTGGAATCATTGAATGTTTTACTCCTTGATTTTGGGGATTTTGATTTGGAGATTGCAGTTGAGATAGGCATTAGTAGGTGTTTTTTTTCTTGCGATCATGTGGTGATTATAACCTACAGACAGCTTTTAACGTACTGTTTAATACTACATGATGTCTGATTTCAGTTCAATTAAAAGAAAGTCGTCAACATCGAGAAGCAGCAGTTATATTTGAACAGTATGTTAAGGTAAGATTTTTACTCTATAGAAATCCTAGAATTTGATATCAGCTGTTTGTAACACTGTTCATAATGAAATACCAATGTCTAGTATCTTGTTAATTTGATAACAATATACTGATAGAAGTTAAATATACCTAGTTAAGTGATAAGTGAAATTAAAATGTTCTATTATTATAGGATATAGAAGAAGCAATAGTAACTTTGATAGAAGGAGAACAATGGGATGAGGCACTCAGATTGGTAAGTAACTAATTTTATTTATTTAATTGGTTCAAGCCATGGTATTATATTTTGATCATTTTTAATTACAAAATAAGATTTTGATCCAAACTTTGTGATAAGTGGCCAATTTTTGACAGTTAGTTCAGTAAGTCTTACTCAGGTTTACCATGTGTGTGAGTATTATATTCTTAATTATAAATCATTAAAGTTTATTCTTATACTCTTTTAGATGTACCGGTATAAAAGACAAGATTTTGTGGAGACTAATCTTAAACCAGCACTGGAAGAAAAAATAGCCAATGAGTTAGAATCATTAGAGAATTTAAAATCTGATTATATTAAATATAAAACTAGACTAGGTGTAGTGAGAAATACGAAGGAGAATGAAAGACTAGCTGTATTAGGTATGATTGATTTTACTTCATTTTACTTTTTAATTTCATTTATTGTTTATAATGTATATATATATATTTATAATTCCAAGGGTCTCTTCAATAGCTAGGTCTTGAACATTTGTTTTAGTGGAATTGCAGGATCAGCAGACATCTGACTGAAAATTGGAATTGTGAAAATCTATCAGTGTCAAGGATACACAAAATGAGATTATCAAACCTCTTGACATTCTCTTTTAGTTAATATACCAGGGTGAATTTTCCAGCATTGTACACTGCATGGCATTGGTCTAAGGTATATTCTGGTTTGTAATATAAATATATTTAATGTATGTATATTATAGAAGGTGGAGTGGGCAATATGGGGGATTCTGATCTGTTCTCTGATACCAGTAGTGCTGCAGGAGAGAGTGTACATAGTAAATATACATATGATTCCAGTAGGTCTACTGTCTTCAGTAAAATGACTGGGTAAGCAACTAAAAGTTTGTCAAGTACTAAACTGTTTACAGTTAAAGGGGCAACCTTCAATGTGACTCAGCTAATGCAGGATTTTCTTCAAAGTATTTCTATTTTCTGTTTCCTTTAACCAGAAAACTGTTTCAGACTAACATTGTTTCCTCAGATGATATATTTGGAAATTGTTTATTTGCAGCGTCATTTGAAAAACCATGAAAATATACCACACTAATTCCATACATTCTTCAGTTAATCAAGAGTTTATTGATCGATCATTTTGAATTATTTACTAAATTGCAGATTGAAATCTTCCTTGATTGAATGTTTTGGGGATGTTTTTTATTTTAATTTCTTTTATTATTTTGACAGGAAATCTCGAAAGAGAGGTTCAGTTAGAAAATGGAATCTAAAAGAAGGAAGTCAGTTTGAAGATTGTGCTTTGATTGAAGCATTAGCTAAAATTATTACAACTGTCACTGGCTTCAAAGGTTAGTTATTTAAACTTGTTTCTTATATTTCCTATAATACTTGGAAGAACTTCTAAATGAAATGTTATACTGCAATATGAGTTTGAAATTGAGCACCATGCAATAATTAAAAACAGAGTCATTGCCCTTGATTTGAAATTGTGATCTTAAATAGGCAAATGCTTTTATTATGACTATTTCAACCATTAAATCATTTAATCAAATATGCAATTATACATTTATTCATTCATTGTCATTTATTCATTCATTCATTTCATTCTCTCTCTGTATTTGTAGAAGATATAAATAGTTTATTAAAGATATTAGTACAGTATAATTATGATGATAAAGCTAGTGATATACAGGGAGAATATGATGAGTTATTAACTATAATAGATACTAGTATTGATGAGATCTGGTCTAATACAGGACAAACTACTGATACTGTAAGTATATATAAATATATATATTATATAGTAGACTATTTTAACTATCTGTGGTCCAAATTGATGTGTTAGCACAACAGATATTACAGTTGAGATTGTCTAAATAAAAAAAATAAATCCTTAAGTTTGCATTTCACAATATTTTGATTAATAGCTAGGAGTTATTGCCCTTGAAGTAGTCAAAATAACACTGATTAAGAACTTCGTTTCGTCACTAGCAGTTGAATAACTTATAAACTATATTTAACACCTAAATGTATATTAAGATTTCAATATTAATGATTGTAGGTATTAGGTCCAAATACAACAGCTAATTCTATAGCACAAGCTGTACAATCAGGTAGACAAACAACAGGTTCTACAGATAAATTAGGTAGGTATGAATTTTGATTCTTCATTTGTCTGGGTTATTTGAGATTATTTTGAAATCTTCTATTCTTGTATCGCATTCAGCATTTGTAATTACACTTCAATAGATTATGGTGTGTTGAATATAATCATTAGAATATTAATGGCCTATAGTTCATGTATGTGTTATTTGATTTGTGTAGCAAAGAGTCTCTGTAAGAACAGACCTGACAATGCCTTCTATATTATCATCATTATTATATATACTGTTATTTTAGACCCAGTACTGGCTGTACCACCACAATATAAAAAAGATGTAAGATGGAAATTACACATGGTACAATCATCTGATTCTTGATATTAACAACTTTTATGTTGTAATTTAAACAGTGCTACATTATATGATATAAACCTTGCCTGTGTATTGGTTGGTATTTGGGGATTTATCAGTTGTGTTTGACTGGAGCTGCAAAATATCTGACTGACTTCAAATGTTCAGACCTTCTTTAAGTTCAACTGGCTATGCTAGGCATGATGGAAACTTGGTGACAGATCTGAATTTTATTACTACTTTGTCAACCTAAATATCATCCTTTATGTATTGTTGAAAACAAAGGTTCAGTGTCATTATGTTGTAAGGGTCAAAGGCAATATCTTTAGAAGAATTTTAGTAACACAATAATATGGAATATTTTGATGAAGTACATTAAATGATACATTATGATCTACAAGTATTTGATTTATTTTTTATGTAAAATTTAAAGTTTATCAGTAACTAAAACATTGCACAAAATCTTAGGTTCACATTTTGAAAAGTCACATTACCAGCTGGTCCCTTGTGTGATATGGTTCACAAATATAAATTGATGTCATCTATCTCTGCATTGCAAAATCTGAAGGCTGTATGTCTGCATGCTTTTTTCTGTGGTGCTCCTAGACTTGTCAGGTCCGTAGCTACAGGGCGGCAACGGGGTGCAATGCCTCATATAATTCCAACTGACCATTTCCTTTACTGTAACTAAACACCATACTCCGGATATATCACTTGTCCCTCCAAACAATTACGTCTGACTAAACAATACCATTTGGTTACGGGTTTGACGACAGATTTTTGTGCGTTGAAAATGTTTAGCATATGAATTCTGGATGACATGACCCCAAAATAAAATATAAGGTGTTGTACACTGATTGTAGTTGAAAAAAAAAGGTGTCATAAAATGTTCAGGGCAGACTTGCCGAGAAGCAATGTTTTCTGGACGGAAGTTTGTTGTCTGCTTCTGGCTTTAGTTGGTGTCAAAACCAAGGTCGGCTAGAGTCTCAATGACGTCATTTCGTTCCATCTCGGCCAGTAAGTCTGTGAGTACTTCCAGGGTAACTTCAGGTTGTCTTGAGCACCAGATATGGAGAACTGCTCCACAAGGATTCTGAGAATTCTTAAATCTAATCATATCAACATCTGTTACAGTTAACCCTAGCAAACCTGGATAAAAAAATAATAATACACTTGTTTTATAGGCCAAAGTAATGTTTAAAAAAATTTATCTTTATGTGTATCGCGGCCTTTAATGAACATTCATTTGCATCGTTCCAATTGTCAGTCAGATTTCTGTGGTACCTATTCTTATAGGAATTGTGGTATCACTTTTGCAAAAGCGTTTGTGATAGCAACGTCATGAGACGCTTAGATTAAGTGGAATTGCAAGAACAACCGACCTTAGACTGATAAATTGAGAATGGTAAAAATCGATGATATCAGTGTCACAGATACACATAAAAATTGAAAAAACCCTCTTTACAATCGTTGGATAAGAGACAAATTTGTATGCCATTATCAGTTAAGAAAGCATCATGTAGTTCCTTTCAAATTCTGAGTATTCTCACCTGCTAACAAGGTCCAGTCGTGACCCAGAGGATTTGGTGGGTTAAGAAAATCACAGATAGTAGTAAAGACATGGTTGGGTAGCTCTAGTATATGTTGTTCTCTCAGATTCTTTACTCTGTGTTTATCAACTGATATATTAGATAGACCGACTTCCTTCTGGTTATTGTTATCTATTGGAAGGATCTGAATTGATAAAATTATAAATTCAAAGCAGGGAGTCACCACCTAGGAAGATTGGACTGATGACCAGTTTATTAAGTAGACCACAAGTTAGGCAACGGGATCAATAATTGGTGACCGTAGCCCAGTTGGTTCTACTCTTGGATCTCAATGTAGCAGCTGAATGATGCTGACTTGCCTCTGGATCCGTGAGATCAATATTTTCAAGCGTTCAATGTGGATAGACGAGCATGATTTGCTTCATTGGTGCAGTTCGTATGGGTCTGTACATATTAAGAGTACATGAATCATGATTGGTGTGCCATAACCTGTCCTCTACACGATCATACAATCAAGATCTTACCTGATCAAATCTCAGTTTAACTTTTCTACCACAACAAAGAAATTCTGATTTACAATGATTAGGACTGCTGATATCGCCTGTAGTACTGGTAATAATTGGTAGTAGATGATTCTGAAAAATATCAGACGTGGGTATTACAGAGGGCAATGTCCAGTCAAGTTGACGGGGTGGTGAGGAGACACCCTCTGAATCGCAACCATCACCATAAATTCTCATCAACCAAGTTTTATACCACCGCAACCCCTAACCCACCAGTTCCCAACCTGGGGTGTTTTCACCCTCTGTGTGTGGGACTAGGGTGTCAGGGGTGTGGCCAACTGGTGTATGAAAAGACTTTATTTTGAATTGAGAGAGCACATCACATTTTTGGGGGTGTGGAAGGTCCAGGTGATTGCTCCAGGGGTGAGGAGGCTGAGAAAGGTTGGAAACCACTGACCTAACCGTACCAAAACTTTTCACCGTCCTAAAACTAAAAACATGACCCAATTACACACAGAAACTTTGGAATATCCAATTTACCGTCATCGTTCACCTATATGAGAGAATTAGGTAACAAATCAGGCCACACTTATTTATTTTATAGTAGAGACGAAGCGATTGATATATTTAAGGGCTTCTGATCCGTACAAAAGCTGTATTGATCGCAAGAGAAGTACCCAATAAATTATCTAACACTCGAGAACATCAATAAATCAAATACCTTAATATAACATTACCATATGGTGTACTCTAAAATTACTAGAAACCGCTGGTTTGAATTTGATACACGTGTAAGAATACATTTATACAAAGTCAAGGGATGTAGGTCTCTAAATATCCACAAGCTTGGGTAATGATGTTGGTTGTTAGTGACTTTTGTTCTAAAATTATGTCAAGGAGGAATATTAGACGACCATTTATAACCAAAAATCTGATTTTGGGCCGGAAGAGAGAATACTTTAAAAGGGTAGAAATAACGTCATATAACGCTCAGTTTTGGTGGAACTTCAATAACTTCTACTCATAAAGATTTAAGAAAACCTTTGAAAGTTTATTACAGGTAAACACTACAATAAATTGACCCGGATATGGCTATAGTAAACAAATAATGACCATAGAGCAGCCAAAACATTCCTATGGTCAGTGGCGGCACAATATGGAAAGGGGGGACATTTCTAACAAATATAAAAAAATGCTTTTTATAGGTTTCTTCCCAAATATATGTATCAGAATGCACTAAATAAACCCTTGTCCCTTTTTCGGATGGGGAGGGGGGGGGGGGGGGTGAGAGAGAGAACCCTTCCAGACAGCAAGAACTCAACCTCGACAGTGGACCAAATTATTTCAGTCTGTTTCCAATTTGTACCCCCAATGCCCGGAAACTGGAGCTGCCACTGTCTATGGTTAATATTAGCTCTATAGGTGATATCTCATTATATTTCTCACGTAATGCAACTAACTGTTCAGGTGAACCACAAATAGAGCATAGATAAAATATAACTCGTCTATTGTAATGATTATAACAATACGTGTTTGTTTGATTATGATCAAATTTCTTCTAACATTAAATCCTTCACCTATCTTTGTACTATTTCCTTGTCGACTACTACAGTCTTCGTACAATCGAATTGTTTGACGAAGTTTGACGACAGTAAATTTTAAATAAAGGCTTCATAAGTGTTGTGGTGATCTTAGAATACCATTGCAAGATGAAAAGATAATAGTTTTTTGGGGTTTTTTTGGTTTTTTTTTACAGAAATTTCAAACCTAGATTGTACTCCCGTTTTGTCCTAAACATGTGTATCCGTTTTAGAAGATTTTTGTTTTAAACGGACAATAGAATCATATATCGAAAGTCAAAAGAAAATACTTATAAATCACACAAGACACTAGCACTTAAATATTATGTAGGTCAAAAAACTTATTAAGTACCCTATTGCTTGTTTTTGTTTGTCCAGGTGTCCTTATTACTAACATATATCAGCATTTGAAAAATAAAATATCGGCCCAAATGATACACATGCCATGGCGTTTATTTTGCCTTTTAGTATGCATTAATATTGTTTGATCGACAAGCTCTAAATATAGAAGGATTTAATTTCTGGGTAATGGAGATGATTAAAAAAATTTCATCCGAATACAAAGATCCGGTTATATACAAAAAACCTCGTGATTGGTTATCATCTGACAACCAGGAAGAGTCTGATGTTTGCTAACTTTGGTTTGTTAAGTCCAACTGTCCTAGATAAACCGGGACATACACTATACAGTATCTTGTGGACAAAATGACAGCATCTTTTTTGTCGTGAGATTCAGCAATGACAAATCATAAATATACCAAATAAGCCTACCAGTTACTGAACACTTGGAAAATGCTGTCTCATAACTGACAAGCACAATATTATGAGTTCTATTACATGGTCTGGAAGAAAGAGCATTATGTCTTTCCTGGTTAATAGCAGCTACTGCAATCATCCCCATTTTAAACAGGGGACTGTGATAGAAGCACGTCATACAGATCCCTGAGTAGTGCCTCGAATTAGGGTATCTTTTGCTCCGTCTTCTGTCACAGAAAATAAATACAGTTTTCAATACTTACCGAGTAATTGCCATCATGGGGTGGCGGAAGGTGACACAATACTCCTAGCGATAAGGAACACATCTTGAAGTCCTGCTTTACGATGATACTGAGACATTGCCAAATAGCCAACACAACTGGTGAAATACTGTTCTTAACATCGTCACGCACCACAATTTTGATCAGATCATATAATCCAGTTTGGTCATCCCTAATTAGCTCTAGCTGATAGCAGACCTTACCCCGATACGTTAGGACGGCTTTACTCTTACACACATTGGGATAAGAGTCATCACGCATTAACGATTCGTCAAACGACACACAAACACAAACAAGACGAGAAAACAACACTTGTGGAAAATATGGTTGGCACTTAATGTAAAGAATTTGATCTTCTGGACACTCCGTCCAACATAGGTCCTGGTACGGAAGCACTTCCGGTAAACACGAAGGAATGAGAAATGATATTGACGAATCTACATCCTCCGATAAAAAAATAGACGAGATCTTACAGATAAGGTTAAACCGGGCTAAGGCCTCTATAACATGTTCTTTAGTATTACCCTTGGAATGGTCTTCGAAAATATGATCGAAGAGCTGCATGGAGCAGATGCCGTGGTCTTGCAAAACAGACCAATCTGCGACTAGATGTGAGGATCGTTCACTGATCCGCGGAATATTTATGATATGACAAAGAATGTTCAATAAAGCTTTGGGATCAAATATAATGAGGTCACATTGGTTTGTATCGTCATTTCGAAACATCACTTCACCAGTTCTCTGAAAAACATTCAGCATTTCTGAAAACTCCTGATCGGTTTTAAACCAAAGACCCATTTCTCGACACAATGCCACCACATTACCGAATGTATCGTACAGTGTATTGAGAGCTCGATAATGTTCGATAATATTAAAAAAGAAAAAGAATTTCACTGGAAACTCCTTCCGGAAGGTCAGATCCGAAGTCTGTTGTGTGATCATCTCCCGGAGATTTTTATGGTCGGTGTCATGGATGTTTCTAATGGAATTCTCTACCGGAAATAACGGAGTATCATCGTGGTTCCAAACTAACATGTTTTGGTAAGACCGGGGCAACTGTCGTTTTAATTCTTTGGCAATTTCTTCAACTTTACACTTTGAGAGCTTCGGATCGTCGCGGCGAGTTCCAACCAAGAATACGCGTGTTTCGGGATATCGGTTATGAAGTCGAATTGATTGTAGCCATTGGATGATATCCTGATAGACCTTCCTGAATTCCACAGCAGCTTCAACTAAACTAAACACCAGAAGATAAACACATTGCCCAGTCATATACACATGATGAGCATCATAATACAAAGGATGGCCAGCAAAATCTCGAACAACGAGTTTCAACCGCGGCGATTTTGTACGAGCACTGATCACTTTGCTTGGGTGATTGACACTTCTGTTCTCTTTAACTGTTTTTGATGCTTTTGCTTTCAAGTACGCAAAGAATTCCAATTCTAAGATTATACAAATAACGACTAACACCCTGGGAATGCTCACAGACAGCTTCCAACCATATAACGTAGCCAAAATTGCTCCTGGTACAAGGCCAAGTACGTGTCGAAATAGTCTCCGACCACGCGTACTTGATGACATTGCTGACAAGTACACGTTTAAGTTACAATAAAAGTTTTGTCCTACTTTTAAACCAACATTATGAAGGACGCCATTACAGGTAGCAAGAGTAAGAGTTATTCCCCAAAGAGGTTTATATGCACATAACACCACAAGACATGTGGCTAAGATAGTAATTACCCTTCTATTCCAAAAATTATGAAGCACAAGACCAACAAGACATCCTAAAAGAAGCAGAAGTACTCCTGGATCACTTACGGGACATTTTGTCAAATACATTTCTGGCTCGGGGGAATCACACAAACAGAAATAGCACAAGAGTCCTACTCCTAAAGACAATCCCAGAAACACACTTTCAAAGAGTTCCAGAGCTAGTACATACACAAATAGAATGACTGTTGTAAACACTACAGACCAATTGTGATCGAACTCTAAATCTGATCTCAAATTCCATCTGAACCAGGCTGTCGTTAGCACAACCAAATGGCGAATACCGACCGCTATTCCTGGACCTTCTGTTAATCCAAAGGTATAACTTGATACACCAAAAATTAAATTCATTAATATTCCGAACCAAGGAATCCAATAAGTCTGGTGAATGTTAGAACACATGATGAAAAAACACAGTGCCAGTAAAGTAATAATGCAGATCTTGATACAAACGATCAAAGGGGCTAATCTATGTTTCGTGGCTTTGTCTTCGGTTCGCTTCAAGCGTATCATCACATGTTTTCCAAGAATTTCATCATATTCATTAGCATTCGCTTTCCGGATATCCAGCTTGCACCAAGGAAGCGAAGGGTTGGGTTCGAGTCCGGTGGTATCAACAAGTTCATGATCAACACCGACTGTGCTCTCTTCGTGTTCGTTGAATGGATCATTCGAAAGGAGTTTTCTAAGACTTGTTTTGCCTTGTCTTTCTCGACCGACAATGTTCACCACCAATCTGTAAGATGTGTCTGTATCGTAGTTGATGGCCTCTTGTTCTGCTTTCCTCCCCTCCGGACCAGTGATGAAGGCCATACCAGGTGTCAGACTCATCTGGTAAATTGCTTTTTGTTCTGCTGCCTGCATCTTTCATTATTATTGCTGAAATACATAAACAGGGGTGGTCAACCTTCGCATTGGGTATTATTATTGAAGGTATTCTTCTCTAGAAGAAATGGTCACAAGAAGAGAACATTTTGGCTACAGTCGGGCCGCGTTAAACCGACCGCCAACAATCTGAAAAAACCGATATTCGTAGGCATTTAACTGGAAACGGAATGCTTGTTTATCATGAAAAAAATGATTGGTTGTATTTGGTAGAATGTGACATTGAATATACAATGTGATTCTTTTATGGTTATTTCTTAAACAATTTGCCGTATACCAACCTATGTAAGGGTACCTGTTGAATGTCTCCCGGTGATTGTATTCGATAAGAGATATTGACTAACCCCAGTAAGATGTTCACCACATTTGATACTCGACAAAATCTTAATCAGCGTGAAATAACAGGAAAGAACCTATCCCAATAGTGATGATTTTGAGTTGATATATTTGTATGGAGTCAGGGCTACCACATACGTCAGTACGTCAATGAGTTCGCCACTCCGTCAATGAGTTCGCCACTCCGTCAATGAGTTCGTCACTACGTCAGTGAGTTCGCATTGGTTGCATGATGGGGTCGTGAGAAATAATAACTCTTGTGAAATTTCAATCTAAACACTCTTCTATCCTTTCCATTTTAAAATCATTTTAGTTCAAATGCAAAGTTCTAAACACATATAGTGAATATGTCCTACTTTTCTCTGTCTATTTGTGCTAAGGTAACAAATAGCGACTCTTTTTTTAGATTCCACCCATCAGGACATCGACATTTAATAATGAAAATTGGAAATTTTGCGTTTTACCCCGACCATTTGTTTAATAAGCACCGAAAAGGCTAATCCAGATAACCGTCCTTGGTGATAAAGGAGTTTTAAAAGGTGTAAGATCTCCTTCACTATTTGATTAAAAGTACTCGGGTTGACCTTGTCAGGGTGTTTGTATATAATGTTGACATACTGGTATAAAATATAAATCATCTTGACCTCAATTCACATAACTGGGGGGTTCACCGTATTTCAAATGGTAATGTGAATGAATCATTGAATAAATATGTTATTTGTACATATTTATCTTCTGATGAAAACTGTATTATGATTACACAAGAGAAAGGAAGACTTGTAATCCCATTATCAATAGATCAAACTAACATTGCAAGTAATACACAATGCATAAAACAAACCTTGTTCTTGGGGATGCCTTTAATAGAGGATGTCTAATATGCTAAATATGGAACTCCAATGGAAAACTGAAACCATACAAAATAAATGATTGTGAATTGAAGTCCTATTGCCTCTCAATTCTCAATTCTGTCACATATGATTCAACTCTTGAATATCTCATTAATAAGATATGCCGTTGACAAAGTACACTAGGTATACTAATCATATTAAACTTCTATATATCGTGATATAGTTGTAAATTGGCAAAGATAATGTCTAATAGATTTAATATGGAACGGGGCCTTAATTATAACAAAATATTAATTAAATAATAATATAGCCTTACCTATTTTGATTGTATTTACTAGCTGCAGTTACAGTTTAATTCTAACAAATGTTTTTTTTAATACAATCATATACTTTATTTGACGCAATTGATATAATCCTTTCATCATAACCGCACAATGACATTAAATCTAAAATGTGAAATCGTCACAATAAAGCCTACCCTGAACTTATAAGCTACTGCAAGTCAAAAAGGGTTATTTGAGTTCTCCATGGTATATTACCCTCAAGCTGCAACGCGTAAAAAGGGTCACAATAATGGAACCTTTTGGAATGTTACACAGAGCAAGTGAAAAAATAGATGTCTTACCTCTTCTTCTCATCTATTATAAGCGTCTGATTGTATCCTATTGTTGTCTCAACAAGACACGCGAGGACTGCTAGTGTTGCAATTGTGGAAAATCCAAAGTCGTAAATAATCTATTTTTATCACACTTTACGTGAAATGAATTAAAGGGATCTAGTCCTCGAAATTTTTTCCATGTGCACCTTTCCTGATCTGAGGGCAGATTTCATCCAAACGTCATAATATCGTATAATGTAATATAATTTAATTCAAACGAGAATATTAATCAGCTTGGAATTTTAGTCAGGACTATCATAGATGAACCGAACCCGAAAAATGAACTAGAATTACAGGAACCACTGACGTCATAATGGTACAAATATATACATGTACATTGTATAGTGTTGACGGTACACACACTTGTTTCTAAAACATTCGTGGTTAGTGAGGTAACGTGTAAATCTAGACATATTCAGCATATGTCTGTCACTATCTTGAAATACTAGCCATGTTGACCTACAGACACCTGAACACCAGCTGGGGGTATGTAGCTACCATTACAAACCCCTTGAGTCAACAAACTTATAGATAAACTGTACAGGATACCGTGATGTAGTCTATACCCTATTTTTCGAAGGGAGGCGACAATATTTATACTGGTATTATAACATGCAGCCCCAGCAGTAGGGGTTACAGGAGAATCGTCCTGTAAAGTTACAAAAGAACACCAAGAGACACTAAAGAAATCTTCTGGAAAGCAATTAGTGCTTCCGAAAGTCGGCCCGGTATCGCCTTTCAATCCCTATTATCCCTTTAACTTTCACAGTGGACCCTTTGGTAGGACGTACTTTGAGACATAGGGTGCTAGTGATTAAAGATCATTTATTAACTTAAAATAGTATCCACAATACAATTAACAGGAGTTCTGATATCAACCACCAAACAGTTTTCATCATCATTAGGCTCTTCAAGGGTAGACAACTGTGATTTTAACATGGACGCAGGCATAAAATGTCCTTTTCTGGATTGAAGTCTCTCTAAGAGAATGTCCTCATCCCCTTTCAGAAATATCAGTTTAAAACTTGTGTCAGAAGCGCTAGCATTATCTGGATTTCCCGACTTTAGAATGTTTCTGTAAGATTTCTTCAATGCTGAACAAGTGACTACCATGGTTTCGTCATTTCTACATTTCCTACAATATAAAACGTCTTGAAATCTGAATGAAGCTATGAAAATCTGTCTTTCGAAAAACCCTATATCCAATCCTGTTTCTCGTTTTGTTAGGCATTTGAGAATAAGGAAATGCGCTCGATCTGATTATATAACACTGTCGTGGTTGGTGTGATACAAGCCTTAACGACGCCAATTGAGAGACCTCTGATCTGTAACATCTACTAGTACTATAACAAATTGTAAAATACAATAGGTACGTACTCTGTGATATAGTTGTGAATTGCTGTTAACCACGGAATTCTGTCCTGAAACGAGTGAAACGGAAATCGTGTAAATCATTGCATTATTCCCCGAAAATTCGCATATATGTATATGTTTACCATCAATCTGGTCTCTTTTTCGACGCGATATGGTAATTCAAATCGATCTGAAAAGCGACACCTACATGCGAGACATTGATAATAGTTTTTTAAAAAGACATAAGCAGCTATACCTGGTCGGTTAAAGGTGTTCCACTCGCCATTTTACTTTTATTTTCCTCAGAATGAAAACTGTCGGCATCGCGGAATTCACAATTCAACTGAAATAATATGGTTAATGAGACATTATATTTCCTACCTATAAAGCATCGTTTTTCTTCAGCTTACCATCTATTGTATGTGATATCAATGACAATACAAGTGCAAATTAACGACTGCTCCAGATCTTGAGAAGGGGTAGGTGGCATTCGGAGATGCAATCATTTTCTATATTTATTACTCATTCTCCCAAAATTGGTAATTTTGAAACGTAAAATATATTAAAAACAATTAAATCACCTTTTCAGAAAGACATGTTCCAACTGATGTCCTGGAAATATAATAATCAGGATTTAGCCAGTTGTAATATGTCAAGAATGGAATGAAATGTTGTTTTACGACTTTCTTTTCTGCACCTGATTCATGGGCTAATGAGGAAGGGCAACGCCATGTAACGAGAGCAATGAGGGACATTTTGCAAGAATTTGTGTTACAGCCTGTAACCGTCCCTTCTGGTCGATGGACATGACAGTGGACCTTCTTTTATTAAAGTTCAGTCCACCATCTGGTATATTATCAAAACCTGGACTTGTATATTTGAAACGATCGCTATATTTTACTGTTATATCTGCAATTGTATTTAAACAATTATTAGGTGTTTTAGACACTGAAACAATTAATATGTACATCTTAATATCAAATGAGGGTTGATTTACCAATGTTTAAATTAATGGGAGATAACTGTACTATGCTTGATATAAAAAAATAAGACGACAATAATTGAATCTAGCCGTATCCAGTGTCGTATAATAATAGTATCTCTATACGACACTGGTCGTAGCGGCTGTTGGCTGACTCGTCTTGTTTATTGAGGAAAAAAGCTTGTCAACTATTTCCTTCGATTGATAGGATACAAAAATACTTCTTCAAACATAATTTATTAATGAAACAATGATTATCAATGCTGTGTTTAGTTTGCACATTTTTCAAATTCAAGGAAAATGTAAAAAAAATCTTACTTTCCACACCCACACACGCCCATGATGACGTAAATCATTCTGAATCAAAACCAGATGTTAGAATAAAACTACGGAATAAAAGTTCCAAATTAATCACTTCGACTCCCTTCCAGACTGACTAACTGAATAGTTTTGGACTATCAGTCATTCTGATATAAAATGAATAAACGTGTATTATCTCATATTGCAACATGATGTGTCAATCTATGTGACTTTATCTTAAAATCTTAATTTTTAACGGTTGTAAAAAGTGTTATTTACGTGCTAATTGTTACTCATGTTGACCTACACTTACTAAAATATATAGAAACACCTATTAATATACCTAGCGGCTAGATGAAAGGGGTGTGTTATAATGACCGGGCACCTGTTAATAACCGAGTCACGTGACGTACACTACCGCCACCTAACGTCAGTTATTATCATTATTGAATTTTGGATGCCTCCATAGCGTTACTTTATCAATTTACAGGCCGTTTTTTTCGTGTGATTTCCCTGTAAACCGGAGACAATGTCTATGTTCCGGAAAAAGACTAGCAAGACTGACCTGCAAACGGAATATTCCTGCAGTATCCGATTTCTCGACGATTCAGACCCAATAAGTTTGGCTTTCAAGGTAAGAAATTGTTGTGTTTTTGCATATTTTCTGCTTTGTCAGACGAATGGAGGAGCCGGTGTCGAACAAGCCGGTTTGTTTACAGTCTATAAAGAGCTTATCTTTTTATCTTTGAAAACTGTTGATTACTTTTACTGTAACTTTGTTGTTATAGGCTTATCAAAGATTTCAAATAACCTTAAATAGAATTAGTAATATCAAGTTTGACATGGGTTTGCCTGACTCAAACAAAACAATAACAAGGCGAAACACAGAGCAACATTCAAACAGCATGTGTAGACTACATTACAACTTCCTGCCAACAGAGGCATTGCATATCACATACATTGGTATTTGCCTTCAGCTTGAGTTCAAAATACTGACAATAGCAATGAACGGGAATTATAATAGTCCTTGGATTATCAAAGTCACATTAATATTGAATATTGGCATTAGCTTGCTAATTAGTAATTACATACACTACACTACAGAGTGGAATTAAATCCACAATAGCACCATCACATGCAATTTTCACATCTTTGTGGAATCAAAAAATTTAATACAGTCATTATAATGAACACTGAAAAATCTTGCATAATATGTAATATAATACGGTATGTAAGCTTATTGCAATTGTAGATTGAATATGATTAGAATCTGGTTGTTCTTGCTGTTCACAGTTTATCATTTTAGGCTCAAATTTTTTAACATTTTTTAGAAAGTTAAGAAACTAATATTAATTTTTTTTAGACCCACCTATAGTATGCTATAGATTTCATAGCTTAAACATCTGATAGACCCCTGATATTATTTATTATAGGATAGGTGATAAACAGTATAATAATATAACAATAGATGTTTATGTTGTTGTTTATAGAATGTTCATTGACCTGAAGTCAATGTTCACTACAAGCTAATACCCTGGTCAGTAACCTACTCACTATTAGCCCTATGAGATTTTTTGTTGGCTGTTCACTACAGTGTGAAATCAATTAGGTCTAGTGCTCTACAGTTGTCAATTGTGTTTGATACTCTCATTGGATTGATGTTAAAATTCTTTTAGGGTGTTTGAAAGGAGTTGAGCCTAGAGCAAACAACTCATAGATTCCTCTCACACAAATATTGATTACCGGTATATCGATATTGAAATTTGAAAGAATTGTGCTCATAACTGGGTAGTGTTATCAAGTTCCAGATTAAGCCAAGAATCTTTTCAGCCTAGAACCAGTAGAAGGGTGCTTTGACACTCAAAGCCTGTTGATTAAATGTCTGTGGTTGTTTGATTTTTGGTCAGTCATAGTCACAAGAATAACAAATGCTTTATGAGCAATATTGGGTTATACTGGTATATTAAGCTACCTGTATAGTAGAGTTGAATGCTCTAGCTGAGAACTAGTAGGATTAGTTTTGTCATGATACACACCAGCCCCTTGTATGCATAAATCTTATGCATTAAGGTTTCTTGTTTGGATCAGTCATAGTCACATGTATAACAATTGCTGTATGAGCAATATTAGGTCATACTGGTATATAATAAACCACCAGAACCAGTACTGTATATAGTAGAGTTATTGTATAGATATTGTAGACACAGGTAACATCTGGACTATCATGAATAATAACATTATCAATGACTCACTGGTAGAAATTGTCAACTATTTTCAGACCCTGGTCAATAAAAACATTCTTTTATGATAAATCTTTATATTTTTACATTAACATTGAATAAGCTTTTGAAAAAGTTTATTGGCCTTGAACTGAACCCTAGTTAATACAGCCATTTTGAATCTGTTGGATGAGTTGTCAATTTTGAGTCTACTTGCACTTTGCTCATCCTGCAGGAATCACTATGTTGACAGTGCTCCAAGACTATTTCAGAATGGTAAAACAGTAGCAGCTAAAAGACTAGTAGCATTGCATTTGCAGTCCTACCATACAAGGCCAAACTGTTCCATCAAAAATATGGTCATCTAGCTGGCAAATTGACATTTTAGTAGTTTATTTAATGAATAGAATTTGCACAAACACATTTAAATTGTATGTTTGAAGTAGACCTCAATACGGGCACTAGTAAATCTGGTCGGCAAGACAGGATAGTAACACTTACATATAAGGCTTGCCCTTTAATGTCGGTTGTTTTTTCTGTAGTAAATTTTATCTTAAACCCAGTGTGTGAGTTTTTCTTCAGCTCACTTTCCCATGTAAGAATACAAGATATTATTTACTATTCTATAAGGTTATGAATTTAAACACAACCATCTCATACACCTATATAAAATTAATTCTAATCACATGGTTCTCCCTTTCATATTTATTGAGGCATAAAATAACTTGACCTACATTAGTTTTACATGTTATCAGTTGAATCTAAAATAAGCTTTGGATTTATTGATTATACATTTGTGTAAAAGTAGAGCTTACAAATTTGCATTTTGTTTATCATGATCATTTCCAACATTGCAATTAGTTAACAACAATGCTGTTTTTGAGAATTTTCAGAACTAAAAGAAGATCAAGATTGGCAGTAACTTTATCTTGATATATCACATCTTTGAATATAATAGTGTGCATATTAGTTTTGTGTCTTTAGTTCTAGACAAACCTAATTGATGAGAGAACTAATAAATATGATTTTTTTTTAAATATGTAATCACCATGGTAACACAATAAGAATAATATCAGGTTTCTATACAAGATGACAGACTGATGGATTAGATTGACATATTTACAAATATTAAAAACTATATATTTTTTTAACATATTTAAAAACTTCATAATTCAACATTCATCTGACATACCGGTATTTAACAAGGAACTGACTTGGAAATTTACCTGTGACAGATGTATACAACGACCTCTGAACTCTGTAAGTCCTGTTGCATATTTTGACATTTAAGTATGGTATTTCCTCAATAGAAAATTTCCACACTGATGACAAATTTTTATTTTTTGAGGAACAGTGACCAATGATCGCTCATCCCCTTTGTCAGCACTGAAGAAGGGATTAGGCATAGATGTGTTCAGGGACCGAGGAAGGAAAAAGAAAGAAAGTGGCATGATACTATTTATGCACCATGTTTGATCTCAAGGACATCCAGTTCCAAATCATGGTGGTGGATGTGACTTAACTATCAGCATATTTTTTCTGTTTTTAGAGTCATCAAAGACAACTCCTTATATTGTTATCTGTTTCTCAAGTTATCTTTTACATCCAAAATATTTGCATCCTTCTTGACCCACTTTTCCAGTTGCCAAAGGTTTCATCACAGATGTTTTCAACATTTAAAATACTGGTACTAAAAACCGATAGCTTAAATATGTTAAAGAATACAAGTCTAATTTGTAGAAAAATAGAAGTGTCTTGTTACAAAATGGCTATAATATTACAGCCCACACTATTATATTACATTTTATTCCTCTGTCAACCTTTTTATTCTAATAAAAAATACCTGAGTTTGGTTGGGAGTTTTCCATTCACAGGCCTATGTAAATATTAACACATCATTCAATAGCCTGTTCATCTTATTATCTTTGTATTGTACATCTATTGATTTATATTGACTAGGTTTTTCTCATTAAACTTGAGTTATGTTCTTCACTATGTCACATTGAAAATAGATTTGTATGTGTATTCGCAGGTAAATATGAGATCATAGAAGCTTATTTGATCATGTTCAGTGAGCTTGCTCATTATGTAAATCCCAGTGTTGAAAGCTGCCCCCACCAATACAGGTACCATTTCCAGTTAAAGATGGCCATGAATAAGCCTCAAACAGCAGGGCCATAAGATGACTCAATATACGTTTTTGTGAAATATATTTTCTGTACTGCCATATTTGGGTTGTGCGACTATTTATGATGACAAATTCTGCAATAAAATTTGTAACTGTTTAACAAGGATAAAGGATATATTGTTTACACTTGTCTGAGTTTATGGGCCAAAAAGTCTGTTGTTTTATATTTTAGTGTATAAAAGAGCCTTAGAATATGCTACTTGAAACAATATTTTAGAGATTAAATTCACAAGCAGTTTAGATAGAACTGACAGAACTTAAAGCTTATATTTTATAACACAGCATCTAATCTGACCTTGTTATGGACCAAAGATCTACAGGAGACTGTAAGTCTGTCAGAAACAGAAGGTACCTTACAATAATAACACCCATTGTTTTAGATATTTAATACCTGTTTACAATAGTTTTATAGACCTCACAATATAGCTATAGTAATTATTAATGAAGGTAAAACTTTATGATCTGTTTCATTGTCTTTCTGTTTAACAGATTTTATGCTGAATATATATTTTATTTATGAGTCATTGTCTTATTTTACTACTTTTACTTTCATCTTTCTATCAACTATAGATAACAATATTATTAGTGAAATTAATGCACTAGCCACTATAATGGTAAACCAGGTGATCAAAAAGATAGATTATGCTTGGTACTGTTATGCCCTCATTGCAAAAAAGCCTTGAATCTGAGAATAATTGCTCCTTGTTGCATTTTCTTTATGAGTTTAAAAATAAGCATTTTGGTATCTTGTGTGTACGTAG